TCATTTGATGCCAGTTTAACAACTGGGCTGCGGACAAGTTAGGGAGGCAGTCCCCTTAAATCTTTACATTTGACTAGGTGAACCTTACTAAAAGCCTTGACCTTGTATGTTCTTCTGTGTGTATATACAAATATATAGCTTATTATACAACAAAGTTGATGTTCATTTCATTTACTCAAAACATCAATTCTCAGGCAAATTTGTAATTTGTAATAGCGCAACAATTACTACTCCCTTCTTTTCATCCATGTTTTATGGCATAAACCTTACACTCGTGGCATAAACCTCACACTCGTGTTGTATTGATCATCATTCGCTTGATTAGAGTTCGTCCCTGTTTCCGAGGGTGTCCTGTACATACAGCAATCAGTGGATCGCATACGTTTTGTGTCTGGGGGTAATCATTCAGTCGTTTTGTGTCTGGGGGTAATCATTCAGTCGTTTTGTGTCTGGGGGTAATCATTCAGTCGTTTTGTGTCTGGGGGTAATCATTCAGTCGTTTTGAGTCTAGGGGTAATCATTCAGTCGTTTTGAGTCTGGGGGTAATCATTCAGTCGTTTTGTGTCTGGGGGTAATCATTCAGTCGTTTTGTGTCTGGGGTAATCATTCAGTCGTTTTGTGTCTGGGGTAATCATTCAGTCGTTTTGTGTCTGGGGGTAATCATTCAGTCGTTTTGAGTCTGGGGGTAATCATTCAGTCGTTTTGTGTCTGGGGGTAATCATTCAGTCGTTTTGAGTCTGGGGGTAATCATTCAGTCGTTTTGTGTCTGGGGGTAATCATTCAGTCGTTTTGTGTCTGGGGGTAATCATTCAGTCGTTTTGTGTCTGGGGGTAATCATTCAGTCGTTTTGTGTCTGGGGGTAATCATTCAGTCTAAATCTGAGGTGGCGAATGATTGTGTCGTGTAACATGCTGGTGGAAGTGTAGGTCAAAAATGGTCAGGTGAATAGAAAGAAAAACATCGATGAATGCAGCAACCGATAGCACTTAATTTGTTATTCCCTGTTATCTTGCACCATGTATTTGACAACACTAAGTATACGCCATTGACGTGAAGTACCAATTTAAAATCAACATGCTTTGGGTGTGTCCGGATATATTCGACCATGTTGTATTGAATTGATAATATTTGACACATTTTTTTCGTACCGGGAAGTCCTTATCACTTGGCGATTATATGGATATTTCCCACATGTCATTTATCCTACAAACAAACGGCAGAGAAGACATGTGCCGGTACACAAGGTGGTCCAGAGGGCATCGGCTCACAAGTATGTACCATGATTGTCCAGGCAGTTTGCCGCTAGCCTCTACGTTGTACATGGAATCGTCCAGGCGGTTTGCCCCTCGTATGTTCACAGGACTTCACAGGGGATATGCCCCTTGTATGTACACAGGACTTCACAGGGGATATGCCCCAAGTATGTACACAGGACGTCAAAGGGGATATGCCCCAAGTATGTACACAGGACTTCACAGGGGATATGCCCCTCGTATGTACACAGGACGTTACAAGGGATATGCCCCTCGTATGTACACAGGACTTCACAGGGGATATGCCCCTCGTATGTACACATGACTTCACAGGGTATATGCCCCTCGTATGTACACAGGACGTCACAAGGGATAAGCCCCTCGTATGTACACAGGACTTCACAGGGAATATGCCCCTCGTATGTACACAGGACTTCACAGGGGATATGCCCCTCGTATGTACACAGGACGTCACAAGGGATATGCCCCTCGTATGAACACAGGACTTCACAGGGAATATGCCCTCGTATGTACACAGGACTTCACAGGGGATATGCTCCTCGTATGTACACAGGACGTCACAAGGGATATGCCCCTCGTATGTACACAGGACTTCACAGGGTATATGCCCCTCGTATGTACACAGGACTTCACAGGGGATATGCTCCTCGTATGTACACAGGACTTCACAGGGGATATGGCCCTTGTATGTACACAGGACGTCACAAGGGATATGCCCCTCGTATGTACACAGGGCGTCACAAGGGATATGCCCCTAGTCTGTACACAGGACTTCACAGGGGCTATACCCCTCGTATGTACACAGGACTTCACAGGGGATATGCCCCTCGTATGTACACATGACTTCACAGGGGATATGGCCCTAGTCTGTACACAGGACTTCACAGGAGATGTGCCCCTAGTCTGTACAAAGGACTTCACAGGAGATATGCCCCTAGTGTGTACACAGGACTTCACAGGAGATGTGCCCCTAGTCTGTTCGAAGGACTTCACAGGAGATATGCCCCTAGTGTGTACACAGGACTTCACAGGAGATATGCCCCTAGTCTGTACAAAGGACTTCACAGGAGATATGCCCCTAGTGTGTACACAGGACTTCACAGGAGATGTGCCCCTAGTCTGTACAAAGGACTTCACAGGAGATATGCCCCTAGTGTGTACACAGGACTTCACAGGAGATATAACCCTAGTCTGTACAGAATACTTCACAGGAGATATGCCCCTATTGTGTACACAGGACTTCACAGGAGATATGCCCCTAGTCTGTACACAGGACTTCACAGGAGATATGCCCCTATTGTGTACACAGGACTTCACAGGAGATATGCCCCTATTGTGTACACAGGACTTCACAGGAGATATGCCCCTAGTGTGTACACAGGAATTCACAGGAGATATGCCCCTAGTCTGTACACAGGACTTCACAGGAGATATGCCCCTATTGTGTACACAGGACTTCACAGGACATATGCCCCTATTGTGTACACAGGACTTCACAGGAGATATGCCCTTAGTCTGTACACAGGACTTCACAGGAGATGTGCCCCTAGTCTGTACAAAGGACTTCACAGGAGATATGCCCCTATTGTGTACACAGGACTTCACAGGAGATATGCCCCTATTGTGTACACAGGACTTCACAGGAGATGTGTCCCTATTGTGTACACAGGACTTCACAGGAGAAATGCCCCTCGTATGTACACAGGAATTCACAGGAGATGTGCCCCTAGTCTGTACACAGGACTTCACAGGAGATATGCCCCTAGTCTGTACACAGGACTTCACAGGAGATATGCCCCTATTGTGTACACAGGACTTCACAGGGGAAATGCCCCTCGTATGTACACAGGAATTCACAGGAGATGTGCCCCTAGTCCGTACACAGGACGTCACAGGAGATGTGCCCCTAGTCTGTACACAGGAATTCACAGGAGATATGCCCCTAGTCTGTACACAGGACTTCACAGGACATATGCCCCTAGTCTGTACAAAGGACTTCACAGGGGAAATGCTCCTCGTATGTACACAGGACTTCACAGGAGATGTGCCCCTAGTCTGTACACAGGACTTCACAGGAGATATGCCCCTATTGTGTGCACAGGACTTCACAGGAGATATGCCCCTAGTGTGTACACAGGACTTCACAGGAGATATGCCCCTAGTCTGTACACAGGACTTCACAGGAGATATGCCCCTAGTATGTACAAAGGACTTCACAGGAGATATGCCCCTATTGTGTACACAGGACTTCACAGGGGAAATGCCCCTCGTATGTACACAGGAATTCACAGGAGATGTGCCCCTAGTCTGTACACAGGACGTCACAGGAGATGTGCCCCTCGTATTTACACAGGAATTCACAGGGGATATGCCCCTAGTCTGTACACAGGACTTCACAGGAGATATGCCCCTATTGTGTACACAGGACTTCACAGGAGATATGCCCCTATTCTGTACACAGGACTTCACAGGAGATATGCCCCTATTGTGTACACAGGACTTTACAGGAGATGTGCCCCTAGTCTGTACACAGGAACGTCTAGGAGATATGCCCCTAATCTACATATACATCCTACAACGACCATGTAACCTTAATATTCTAAGATATCAATGAAATAGCAACACAATCTACAATGCAGATATCGTGTGAAGTAACTTGAAAAATATTAACATTGTACATTTATGATGATTTTTTAATGAGAAGATATAAGCACGCTACAATTTAGTATAAAATCAAATTAGCCTCAGCTGTTGTTAAAGCAAAGGCAGAAGTGAAATGTAAATTTCTTTACAATAAACAATGTTCCTAGTGTTTCGCCTTGAATGTTACACACCTCTTATGGTGTCTTAGGTCTCTTACTGTAGATTATAAATTATGAAGACTGAGAATAATAAACTCTGCACGACAGCAAACATAACTTGTACGGCAAATCGCCAGTCCAGACCTGCACAATTCATATGCATAACATGAACATGGTAACTTTGATTGTCGCGATATTCTTCTTATAGTCACCCCAAGGCGAATGTCTTTGCATATGTCTATGCTTATATCGTCAGTTTGGTGAATCGTACATGTATTCCTCTGTGAACTAGTATCAAACACTATAAAATACTTTGAAACACTACAAACCAGTATTAAACAGTATGTACCAGTATTAAACAATATGAACCAGTATTAAATACTGTAAACCAATTTGAAACTCCATAAACAAGTATGAAAAACTGTAAACGAGTATGAAACACTATACACCAGCAATAAAGAACGGAAATCTGTTTCTTTTAATCGAAAGTTATTTAACTAGACGATAAATATCTATTCTACCTTTCACAGCTTGAAGACATTGGCCTAGTCTGTATAATGCCATGACATGATTGTGAGGCAAAGTCGGTCTTGTGGAGAATGGAGATGAGGGTTGGAAATATCTAGTTTTCTAATGATTGTGAACCCCTGAAGGACCGGGTTAGAATGAACCTTCAGTAACCCATGCTTGTCGTAAAGAGGCGACTAACGGGATCGGGTGGTCAGCCTCGCTGACTTGGTTGACACATGTCATCGGTTCCCAATTGTGCAGATCGATGCTCATGGTGTTGATTACTGGATTGTCTGGTCCACACTTGATTATTTACAGAGTGCCGCCATATAGCTGGAATATTGCTGAGTGCGACGTAAAATTCACTCACTCACTCACCCTAATGATTGTCGTTGATCCCGTCTTTTCTCCGCAGGACCGACCAGCTCGCATGAACTTCTTGCATACTCCGATCACCCAGCCCCCCGGGACAGACTACGGTTATCTGACACCCACGGCACCTGGGGCAACATGGGACGGGAGCTACGCCAACGCTGGTTTCGGATTAGACGACCCTTTTCATGAAGACCCTGACTATGATTCATCTGACGAGAGTGAGGTGGAGGACCCCGAACAACACGGGACTAACCCCAAGGTGGTCATTTCCGAACCTGAGACCACCGGTGAACCACCTGAGACCACCGGTGAACCATTAGAGAAGTATGGAACTCTGCTTGTTAACTTTGAGTGAGTGAGTGAGTGAGTGAGTGAGTGAGTGAGTCAGTCAGTCAGTCAGTGAAAGACTGAACGAGTCAGTGAAAGAGTGTTGTAGGGTAAGTGAGTGAATCATTTCAATGTGAGCTAACTGAATGTGTATGTTGTCAAACCTCAGATCTCGACATACACTGTAGGTGAACTTTTCTACCACTACCTCAGATCTCGACATACTCTGTAGGTGAACTTTTCTACCACTACCTCAGATCTCGACATACTCTGTAGGTGAACTTTTCTACCACTACCTCAGATCTCGACATACTCTGTAGGTGAACTTTTCTACCACTACCTCAGATCTCGACATACTCTGTAGGTGAACTTTTCTACCACTACCTCAGATCTCGACATACTCTGTAGGTGAACTTTTCTACCACTACATTCCGGGATTTGCCATTTGAGGACAGTATCTAATATGTTTTCATTTACAAACAGGCCACCACGGAAACCAAAATGGGACATTTTCAAGGAATCATCCGGCGACAGTGTCAGTTTTTCGGAGACACAGAAATGGAACTTGTCCTATAAATTTCTACGAGTCCTTTTATGCTGTGCCTTCTTCCTGTTTTGCTTGGGCTCAGCAACAATGTCCAAATTAACTTTCCTGTTCTTAACGTTTTACATCAACCCTACAGAGAAGTTCTATTTGAATTACGTGGTCAATGGCACAAGTAAACGTGTCAACATGAAGACAGACGCCTACCACATGGATGCAAAATGGATATGGTCTCTCATCATCATCATCTGTGCTCCATACTTCTTCACAGCGTTATCAAGTGTCTGGAAAATATTCTTTAAAAAAACAGGAAAAATGAAAGTGCTACCTCTGGTGGTGGTAAGTAATACCATGGAATCTCTTCCTAAAGTTAAGTGTTTGGAGATTGGAATTGCCAGATATAGCAGTATATATTTAACATATGCTTTCTCACTTTCTCATAAACAGCCGGTTCTAAGACGGGTTTTGGGTAGAGTCATTTCGAAAGTATACAGTCTCCGAGTGAGACATCTAATCGCCAGCAGAAATTGTCAAGCTTGGAAGTTAAGTATTGTGTGACACTGGAAGCTGGGTGGCACACAGGAGGGTGGGGTACTGGATGTTGACTGGTACACAGGAGGGTGGGGTACTGGATGTTGACTGGTACACAGGAGGGTGGGGTACTGGATGTTGACTGGTACACAGGAGGGTGGGGTACTGGATGTTGACTGGTACACAGGAGGGTGGGGTACTGGAAGTGGAGTGGTACACAGGAGGGTGGGGTACTGGAAGTGGAGTGGTACACAGGAGGGTGGGGTACTGGATGTTGACTGGTACACAGGAGGGTGGGGTACTGGATGTTGACTGGTACACAGGAGGGTGGGGTACTGGATGTTGACTGGTACACAGGAGGGTGGGGTACTGGATGTTGACTGGTACACAGGAGGGTGGGGTACTGGATGTTGACTGGTACACAGGAGGGTGGGGTACTGGATGTTGACTGGTACACAGGAGGGTGGGGTACTGGAAGTGGAGTGGTACACAGGAGGGTGGGGTACTGGATGTTGACTGGTACACAGGAGGGTGGGGTACTGGATGTTGACTGGTACACAGGAGGGTGGGGTACTGGATGTTGACTGGTACACAGGAGGGTGGGGTACTGCATGTGGAGTGGTACAAGGCGCAAATCCAGATTTACCAGCGTACGGCGTAGGCCAGTGCACATTAGTACATATAACCATTTCAAAATCCCCACCGAAAGGGTCTGAATATGAAATTCTTTTCAATAAACTATATCTCCCAAGGTATGTCTGCCACCAGTACCTCTTCTTTAGATCTGGAATGAGTGAGTGATCCGCTATCACCAGCATTACTGAAATCGTCCCGGGGATCCAGAAATAGGCTTCTCACATTAAACCATTGTGGAGAATCGAACTCATGTCATCGGCCCTTTAAATATGGAGACAAGTGCTATCCGCTTTTGACCGATCATAATTAAGACTTCTTCAAAGCGATCGCAGCTGTCAGAGTGTAGTTAGCTGACTTGAGTAACACTACAGATGCTTGTAGAATGGAAGTTTAGATTTGATCCGTCCCAAACACCTGACTCATTGATGGAAATTGTGTTCCAGGCCTTCCTGATTGAGACGCTACACACTATCGGACTCGTCATGTTGGTCTTCTACATCATACCAAGCTTCGAACCTCTGATCGGGTGCTTGCTGATGCTCAACGTGGCTGTCATCCCAGGACTGCTGAAGATCTTTGAGGTCACCGACCTCAACAACGACGCAAACAGCGAAGTCAAAGCATACAAGGAGGATGGGAATGCTCGGATATGTGTTCGGAAAATGTTCGACATCTTCATGGTTACGTTGCAGGTTGCTGCAGTAGCCGTGTGGTCGTACCTGGCCTACACGGTCAAAGAATCCCTTTTGCTGTCAATACTTATTCCGGTTTCGCTTGTCCTTGTGTCCATCTCGTGGTGGGACAACTATGTCCACTCAAAGAAGACGAGTAGTAGCGATGATTCAAAAGGCAACTGCTTGGCGCGGATAAAGAGATCTATCAAAAAGAGGGGCTCCAAAATTTATTTCCTCACTTCAATCTGGAAAATAGTTTTGACAATCGCCCTTCCTGCTGTGATTTTCTCCTGGAACAGTAAGCAATGTCTCAGAGCATTCTTTATCCTGGAACCAGCAGCAAGGAATTGCTCGGTGTTTCAGAAAATCACCATCACCGACACTGCCCAGGCAGGGGCACCGTCTACGGCGACAAGCTGCCACCCATACCTACCTTTCTTTGTTGCTACAATCAATATCGTATCTAGCATCGTGTGTTACAAGATCGGCAAGTCGGCCTGCAAGATTCTCGCTCAAGTATGGTGCTTCGCGATACCCCTTCTTCTCTCAATACCAGTTACATGTGCTATCATCATCAGCACCTACACATTCAATGATGGGATCAGTGACTTTTTAGGATGCAAAGCACCTTGGATACCGGATGTGAAGAATCTCGACCTCTTTGACTTCATGGTACAGTACATTGAAACCTATTGGCTTCCTGTTGGGATGGCTTCGTTCGTCTCCCTCATCTATATTGCAGGACACATCTTCACACCTCGCTGCACCAGGATGGCAAGCACAGAGAAGTACATATATTTCCTACCATTCGACCTTGAGATATATTTGACACACTTCATATAGAACACGAATCGGCCATTCATCTTTTGCATCATTTCCTTGCAGTGCTGAGTGCTGTACATTAGCCAAGATCCCATGAAGTCTGTATAAAATCCAAATTAGTTGTTATTATTGCTCTTGATTCGTCTAAACAATAATCATGCTCGTGAAACGCTGTGGTATAACTGAAATTATGCTTATAGCGGAGTACAAGAACAAGTCACTCAGACGGTTTTGTAATCAGAGACATCATAGTTTATCAATATGACACCCTAAGGACAACTAGCACACACACAACAATCACTTTATTTGGAATTCGCCAGGTGAACTGTTACTCACACTTCCGGGTACTCGCCCACCGTTGAAACAGTTCTGATGTTCACGATATCTATTTTTCAGACTGTTCCTGAAGCCTCTGTTCTGTGGAGTTCTGTTGGAGGAGTCCATTATGCTCAACAGACGTAAGGATGATGAAAACCTTCAGGAATATATGGTATGTTATCCAAATATCCTAATGTGTAATTGTAGAACGAAAATGCAAGAGAGAATCCTTCCTCAGACAGATTCCACATAACACAAAGGGCAAAGCACACTAAAGCCATGCGACGGCGCCATGCAAACCAGGCAACATGGCGATCGATGAATACGAGATATGAAACGTTTAAGGTCTTGCTTATCATAATTCTACATTAGCAACAGCGTCAACATTAAATTACCTTTTTGTGTCCTGAATGGTCTGTTGCTGACAGAAACATTTGCTCTTTTGTTATTGCGCCAGATGAATGGCGCGTTTATAGCTTTGGGAGAGTCGAGAGAGCCCGCTGGGGGAATAGAAGAGGAAGAGAAAGAGGTCAACGCAATGGTTGATCCAAATGAGACAAAGAAAAGAATGCGAAAAGACACCACACCCATGATATACATCTGTGCAACGATGTGGCATGAGACTGAGAACGAAATGATTCAAGTTCTCAAATCAATATTCAGGTAGAGGAAGACCCATTAATGCTAACTGAATATGTATACTGACCAGCAAAAGAGACGCAATTCAAGCAGTCTAAACAATTGTGTTAAAGTATCAAATCCAAAATCATGGCTGAAAAAGTATCATTTTCATGAATTCTGAGTTGCATTTTTATTGCTGGTCAGTATAGTATATCTGTTATCTGTTAAAAGAGGCCTTGTCTGCAAGAATCTTCATTTGTATTTATAGTGAATTACAATGCATGAGAGTAACGTGAATAATGTTATGATGTTGTTGTTATTGTTGTTGTTGTTGATGATGATGATAACCATCATCATCATCCCCACTACTGTTATCATTGCTGTTAATATTTTTGCATCTTCCCTCAGATTGGACATGGACCAATCTGCGCGCCGTACTGCCCAAATGTTCTTTGAAATTGAAGATCCTGATTACTATGAATTTGAAGGTAAAATATATCAATGTTTTGGGGGACATGATTGCTTTTGCTTGTAACACATTATTAACATAATGCATTTGAGTATCCAAGTGAAATGGATTAAAGCGTCCTTCTAAATGTCATTTTCAGCTCATATCTTCTTCGACGACGCGTTTGGCCCGCACTTACAGGACGAGTACGAGTATAAGGCTAACGACTTCGTTAAGCAGCTTGTGAGAGTCATCAACGTTGCCGCAAGGTATGAGTCGACACGCTGGAACGCTATCCAATATGTGTTACAGTTAAGAAAGCTTCTAAAGGCAATGCCCACCAGATCCATTAACATAATATCCTCCAAAGCAATGTATCGAGGTTCCTGATTTCACTGTACTTTCGTTTCGGATGTATAATTTGTTGTCCATGTTTTAGTCTTTACACTATATCTTTGTTGGCAACAATAATCTGTTAATAATTTCATTTTAACTAGACTCCCTGTATGGAGTTTATGCATTCTTCTTAATGTTATACAATAAAAACAGTGGTGAAGAAGCCTAATTGTTAAGCAATCGATCATGGCGTCAATTATCGATTTTCTTCATAAATATATAGTCAAACACCACTTTGTCGAACATGTGATGTGTCGAACGTTGATGTGTCGAACTTTGATCTGTCGAACTTAGAAATATTTACGTGATCCCCTTCAACTTCTACACAAAGGTGTTCAACTGTAATTTGCGTAATTCAACGCTCAGTATCATATTGAACTGTGCGAATTAAATGATCAAGTAATCAATGCCGTTACGTGTTGATTTACAACATGGGTCAGAATAGAGTGGAAAGGCCCATAGGCTTTTAGTACCCTGTAGTACCTTCCAGAACTCGTGAAGATCCGGGTTAGAATTGGCCTTCAGTAACCCATGCTTGTCGTAAAAGGCGACTAACGGGATCGGGTGGTCAGGCTCGCTGACTTGGTTGACACATGTCATCGGTTCCCAATTGTGCAGATTGATGCTCATGCTGTTGATCACTGGATTGTCTGGTCCAGACTCGATTACTTACACACCGCCGCCATATAGCTGGAATATTGCCGAGAACGGAGTAAAACTAAACTCACTCACTCACTCAATTCCAGAACTCTGTATAAGTATAGCCCAAGTCTAAATATAGCACACCACGCCCCTACTGTACAATGTACACTTGGAACATTGCTGTATAATGAAAAACAGTGTCACATAACAATGTATGTGGAAAGACCAGGTTAGGTATCTGAATAATTACTTGTGATCTCTGGGTAGTGCTGTACACGACACCGTGATGAGGATACCTGCCCCCAGACGTATCCCCACCCCATACGGAGGTCGTCTGGTGTGGTCACTACCCGGAGGAAACACCATCACCGCTCACCTCAAGGATAAAGTGAAAATTCGGCACAGAAAGAGATGGAGTCAGGTATGGAGTGTTAAGGTGTCCGATAGTAGAAAATGTGAAATCAGTTCAAATTAGGATGGCATTTAGGCCGGCAGTATGTGTTGCAGTTTTTAGAGCAAGACCATCTTTACTTCATTAAACTTTGAAAGGTGCCTCTTTAGTTAGGTTTAGATTGTTGAAATAGGTTTACTTGGACTCCTCGGCAATGGCTTGCTAATGACTTGCTTCTCAGTATTGATTCGGCAAACAGGTATGAAAATTGCATTACCCATCCCACCCCCTTCCGACAGAATACAATATTTTTACAATTTACATGGTGTTTAAACGTACATGTTAAAGTCCAAAGCAAACAGGTTTCAGGTTTGTGCCGAAAGGAAAAGCCCATCTCTGACTGTGTTGGCACAACCTATAGCATGCCACGTAGCAGATTATCTGTTGTAACTGTGGGCGTCGTCGAAACGTTTAACATTTATCGAGTCAATCGTCAGACAATGAAAGTACTAGTAATGTGTTTCCCTATGAAATGAATCTCATGCCTCATGGTGTACATGTTATTGTGAAGGTGGTGTGTCTACGCTTGTTTATTCAATGTTATGTACTTGTTGCTGTTGTTAAGGTGGTGTATATATACTTTGACGGTGCATGACCTACTTGGACTTGTTTCTTTGAGGGTGCATGACCTACTTTCACCTGTTTCTTTGATGGTGCATGACCTACTTGTACTTGTTTCTTTGAGGGTGCATGACCTACTTGTACTTGTTTCTCTATGGGTGCATGACTGACTTGTTTCTTTGAGGGTGCATGACCTATTTGTACTTGTTTCTTTGAAGGTGATGTACATGTACTACTTTCTGGGCTACCAGCTTCTGAAGGAGAAGATGTCACTGAAACGTAAGAAAGTCCGCGCAGAGAACACGTTTCTCCTGGCCTTGGATGGAGATGTGGACTTCCAGCCTGATGCGCTGCAGATCCTGGTGGACAGGATGAGGAAGAGCACCAGCCTTGGGGCCGCCTGTGGCAGGATCCACCCCATCGGCAACGGTACAACAATTTTCGAAATGTTGTCCTTTCAAAGCTATCTAAAGTGAACTCTCGTTGGTCTGGAAACCTTGGATCCCTGACAAGTGTTTGACGTCCGGACGTCTATATACAACGTATACTGTAGATAGAGAGAAAACACTACTTAAAATCGTTTGTTAGACATGTACCCGTGAAGATCCGGGTTAGAATTGATCTTCAGTAACCTATGGTTGTCGTAAAAGGCGTTTAACGGGATCGGGTGGTCAGACTCGATGACTTGGTTGACACACGCCATCGTACCCTAATTGTGTAGATCTATGCTCATGCTGTTGAACACTGGATTGTCTGTTCCAGACTCGATTATTTACAGACCGCTACCATATAGCTGGAATAATGCAGAGTGGCGTAAAACTAAACTCACTCATTCGTAAGACATGCACCATAACAGTATCAAGCGTAATATGAGGTGGTATGACCACGTGGTATTCCAGTTTAGAATGGTTCCCTCGTACAATGATACTTTTGTGTGGCCGGCATGGCATATATACATTCCTTCCTGATATGACATGCATGCATGATCTCTGTGAAGTAGCATACTTGCCCTGAAACATGGTCCGATACATGACAATGGCTTGTCTAATACCAACTGTTCATTTCCACCAGGTCCCATGGTGTGGTACCAGAAGTTTGAGTACGCCATCAGTCACTGGCTACAGAAGTCCACCGAGCACATGTTGGGGTGCGTTTTGTGCAGTCCCGGATGCTTCAGTTTATTCCGGGGATCTGCTCTCATGGATGACAACATCATGAGGAGATATACAACCCCGCCCACGGAACCCCGGCACTATGTTCAATATGATCAAGGTACTGGTACTATGTTCAGTATGATCAAGGTACTGGTACTATGTTCAGTATTATCATGGGAGTGGTACTATGTTCAGTATGATCAAGGTACTGGTACTATGTTCAGTATGATCAAGGTAGTGGTACTATGTTCAGTATTATCAAGGTAATGGTACTATGTTCAGTATTATCAAGGTAGTGGTACTATGTTCAGTATTATCATGGGAGTGGTACTATGTTCAGTATGATCAAGGTACTGGTACTATGTTCAGTATGATCAAGGTAGTGGTACTATGTTCAGTATTATCAAGGTAATGGTACTATGTTCAGTATTATCAAGGTAGTGGTACTATGTTCAGTATTATCATGGTAGTGGTACTATGTTCAATATGATCAAGGTAGTGGTACTATGTTCAGTATTATCAAGGTAGTGGTACTATGTTCAGTATTATCAAGGTAGTGGTACTATGTTCAGTATTTTCAAGGCAGTGGTACTATGTTCAGTATTATCAAGGTACTGGTACTATGTTCAGTATTATCAAGGTAGTGGTACTATGTTCAGTATTATCAAGGTAGTGGTACTATGTTCAGTATTATCAAGGTAGTGGTACTATGTTCAGTATTATCATGGTAGTGGTACTATGTTCAGTATGATCAAGGTACTGGTACTATGTTCAGTATGATCAAGGTACTGGTACTATGTTCAGTATTATCAAGGTAATGGTACTATGGACAGTATTATCAAGGTAGTGGTACTATGTTCAGTATGATCAAGGTAGTAGTACTATGTTCAATATGATCAAGGTAGTGGTACTATGTTCAGTATTATCAAGGTAATGGTACTATGTTCAGTATTATCAAGGTAGTGGTACTATGTTTAGTATTTTCAAGGAAGTGGTACTATGTTCAGTATTATCAAGGTAGTGGTACTATGTTCAGTATTATCATGATAGTGGTACTATGTTCAGTATTTTCAAGGTAGTGGTACTATGGTCAGTATTATGAAGGTACTGGTACTATGTTCAATATTATCAAGGTAGTGGTACTATGTTCAGTATGGTCAAGGTAGTGGTACTATGTTCAGTATTATGAAGGTACTGGTACTATGTTCAGTATTATCAAGGTAGTGGTACTATTTTCAGGATTATCAAGGTAGTGGTACTATGTTCAGTATTATCAAGGTAGTGGTACTATGTTTAGTATTATCAAGGTAGTGGTACTATGTTCAGTATTATCAAGGCAGTGGTACTATGTTCAGTATTTTCAAGGTAGTGGTACTATGTTCAGTATTTTCAAGGTAGTGGTACTATGTTCAGTATTATCAAGGTAGTAGTTCTATGTTCAGTATTATCATGGTAGTGGTACTATGTTCAGTATTTTCAAGGTAGTGGTACTATGTTCAGTATTATCAAGGTAGTGGTACTATGTTCAGTATTATCAAGGTACTGGTACTATGTTCAGAATCATCAAGGTAGTGGTACCATTTTCAGTATTATCATGGTAGTGGTGCTATGTTCAGTATTATCAAGGTAGTGGTACTATGTTCAGCATCATCAAGGTAGTGGTACTATGTTCAGTATTATTGTGGTAGTGTTACTATGTTCAGTTTATCAAGGTAGTGGTTCTATGTTCAGCATGATCAAGGTAGTGGTACTATGTTCAATATGATCAAGGTAGTGGTACTATGTTCAGTATTATCAAGGCAGTGGTACTATGTTCAGTATTATCAAGGTAGTGGTACTATGTTCAGTATTTTCAAGGTAGTGGTACTATGTTCAGTATTATCAAGGTAGTGGTACTATGTTCAGTATTATCAAGATAGTGGTACTATGTTCAGTATTATCAAGGTAGTGGTACTATGTTCAGTATGATCAAGGTAGTGGTACTATGTTCATATTATCAGTATTACTATGTTCAGTATTATCAAGGTACTATGTTCAGTATGATCAAGGTAGTGGTACTATGTTCAGTATTATCAAGGTAGTGGTACTATGTTCAGTATTATCAAGGTAGTGGTACTATGTTCAGTATTATCAAGGTAGTGGTACTATGTTCAGTATTATCAAGGTAGTGGTACTATGTTCAGTGTTATCAAGGTAGTGGTACTATGTTCAGTATTATCAAGGCAGTGGTACTATGTTCAGTATTATCATGGTAGTGGTACTATGTTCAGTATTATCAAGGTAGTGGTACTATGTTCAGCATTATCAAGGCAGTGGTACTATGTTCAGTATTATCATGGTAGTAGTTCTATGTTCAGTATTATCAAGGTAGTGGTACTATGTTCAATATTATCAATGTACTGGTACTATGTTCAGTATCATCAAGGTAGTGGTACCATTTTCAGTATTATCATGGTAGTGGTGCTATGTTCGGTATTATCAAGGTAGTGGTATTATGTTCAGCATTATCAAGGTAGTGGTACTATGTTCAGTATTATCAAGGTAGTGGTACTATGTTCAGCATGATCAAGGTAGTGGTACTATGTTCAGTATTATCAAGGCAGTGGTACTATGTTCAGTATTATCGTGGTAGTGGTACTATGTTCAGTATTTTCAAGGCAGTGGTAAGTATGTTCAGTATTATCAAGGTACTGGTACTATGTTCAGTATTATCAAGTTAGTGGCACCATGTTCAGTCTTATCAAGGTAGCGGTACTATTTTCAGTATTATCAAGGTACTGGTACTTTGTTCAGTATTATCATGGTAGTAGTACTATGTTCAGTATTATCAAGGTACCGGTACTTTCTTCAGTATTATGAAGGTACTGTTTTAAATCAGTGATATTTTTCAGTCAGAATTTACAAGAACGTTTACTAATCAAATTTACGGTTGATGTAATGTTGTAAATAATATACACAGGGTATATGAGAGTGAGATAACAACACACTGGTGTATATGGTTCCTATACATATACACTACCATGATATGATTACCGTTGTGGCACGATACTTCATCTGAAAATTCTGAGGAACGAGCGAACGACTGGAACCCATGATAGGCTCCCTTATCCCACCCGTTCGAACTATCTATGTTTGTAGCTTGTCCGTCACATCCTTGCTCACGAGTCTCATATCGATGGGGGAAATGGCTGACACCTGCATCAGCTTTGATGTTTTCTCCCAGATGACAACCATAAGAAACTCTCCAACTCAACAATAGATTGCCTGTTACACGCATATATCTTATATATGGGAGTGGCTTCTTCCTTAGGCAACATTGTCCATCATTCGGTATCAATTTCCCTTCCAGGAGAGGACCGCTGGCTGTGCACCCTCCTCTTGCAAAGAGGCTACAGAGTAGAATACTGTGCTGCCTCAGACTCATTCACGTTTGCTCCGGAAGGCTTCTTCGAGTTCTTCAACCAGCGGCGGCGCTGGACGCCTTCCACTATGGCCAACATTCTGGACCTGGTGATGGACTGGAAGAAAACATCCAAGAACAACCAGGACATCTCCATCATGTTTATGCTGTATCAGATGTTCCTCTTCACGTTCTCAGTCATCACTCCAGGCACCATCTTCATGCTCATAGTCGGGGCATTGACAACTGCCTACCCGTATGTATACTCTTGTATTGACCAGTAAGGGAGTTATTTGTTTAGATGTTGGGCTAACAAGGAACCAGCGATAAAATGATACAGTGAACCCAAGTCAAACCTTGTGACAAGTGAACATGTAACCCACCACGCTATGAAACAAAGCATTTAGTCTGCGTGGTCAACGGCCGGCCATTTAGCAGCTGTGATAAGAACTATACGGTCGGTCATTTAGCAGCTGTGATAAGAACTATAATGACTAAACAATAAAATGTATTCTATCAATGACTGCTAAACTATTTTCATCACTCAGTGTAAGCTTTGTATCTCCTTGTAAAGTCTTGTTACCTCTGTCATCTTCAAGTATATTAAACTTGTATTGCAGCGCCATACCCTTGTATGGTTCGTTCGTCATCAACTTGATACCAATCATCATTTTTGTGCTCCTGTGTTTCAAAACAAGCACCGACGTACAGGTAATACTATATCCATCCACGCATCAACACGCACTAAGAAGCATATGTATTCCTCTTAAATTTATTCTATCATAATGTTTATTTTCAATTGCAATTAAAACGTTATGGATGTGAAAAGGAAAAAAACTATACCAGTGCTAAGTGAGCAATTTTAGAAAGCTACTTCAGGTGTAATTCAACTTCTTCTTTTTAAATAAATAGTATTGCACACAGCTGCTGATGGGTATCTTTGGTACCCTATCTTAATAATCAGTCAACAGATGTGCTTTCAATGGCACAAAATCACATGGTAGGAGTCATGTGTTTGTAAATTATACTTACCCAAGGTTTCATTAGACCAATATATACTGAGTCAAAAAAGAAACTTCACATTCTTTCTTCAGGGAACTATAATAGAACAAGAGATGGTAAGATGGTTAAATTGTTATTATTTCATCGCTGAGATCTGTGTGATGTACACGATACACTGACAGTGCCATAATCATTTCCATTTTGCTACACCGCCGTTCCAAAACATGGGTATACAGAATGTCAAGTCACAAGAATAAAAATGCGAAATTTCTCAGTTCAATATCGTGTATGGCCGCCCCGCGCATTCACCACTGCCAAACACCGTCTCCTCATCGACTGCCTGATGCTTGTGAACACGTGGTTGGGGATTCTGCGCCATTGCTCTTGCAAGGCAGCGCCAAGTTCCTGCAAATTCTGAGGCTGGTTCCTAAGACCACGAAGCCTTCTCCCAAGTGCATCCCAAACGTGCTCTATTGGATTACGGTCAGGGGACCTTGATGGCCAGTCCATGACGTTGATTCCAGCGTTTTGAAGGAAATTTCGTGTCAACATCACGGTATGCGGCCGAGCATTATCATGCTGGAACTGTAGACCTGGGCCATAAGCCGCCATGAAAGGAACGAGTTCAGGGGTGAGCACCTGGTCGCGGTAAGCAGCAGCTGTGAGGTTTCCACGGATGACAAGAAGTCGGGAACGGTTGTTCCCACAGAAAGCACCCCACACCATGCATCTTCCGCCCCCGAATCTGTCGACTTCCTGTACACAACATTGGGCATACCGTTCACGACGTCGTCTCCAGACTCTATGCCTGCCGTCCGCGAGTCTGAGGGTAAAGACGACTCGATTCCAGTCTCTCTGGGTCCATTGGAGGTGACGTTGGGCCCACAGCAGACGTTGACGTTGATGAAACGGCGTCAATATTGGCCCACGATATGGACGTCGAGAATGGAGATTGGCAGCCCGCAACCGATTTCGAATGGTCTGTGAGGACAGTCGACCTCTAAACATCTCAGTCCTGGTTCTTGTAGCCGGCAGAAATCTGTCACGTAGGTGACGTAGGACGATTTGACGGTCTTCTGCTCGTGACGTCACACGTGGACGACCCGACCTTGGGCGATCAGAAGTGGTGCCAGTTTGTTGTAGACGACCTCGCAAGTCATACACAGTACGACGGCTGCATCCCATTGCTCTTGCGACGTCAATAACTGATCTTCCCGCTTGCAACATGCCAACGGCACGTTCAAGTTGCACATTTGACAATCGTGGCATTTCAAGTACCGTTAGAACTGTGGTTTAAAAGTGTTTTTTCAATTCTTGAGGCCAATGCAAACACGTGCATATGAAGAAAACTTCGATGCGAAGATCACGTGATCGACTGCACTTGCAAAACCTGATTTGGCACTAACGTCATTTGCACGACGAATGGATGTGTTTGAGTGGGTTTTGCTAACGTTTTTCTAGAGTCGAAAGATAGGGATCCCAATTCGGATACATAGATGTATCATCAGAGAAAAATTATTCATTATTTTTCAAATTACATTTTGTGAAGTTTCTTTTTTGACTCAGTATATATTTTTACCCCACAAAATTGCCCAGCCACTGAATACTGTTTACAAACTGTTGCAGGAACGAGTTTTGGTTAAATAGACATGATCAATTTGTACGAACGGCATTTTCAAGTTTCAATTACATGGAAAAATACAAACTCGGTACATTTTGTTTAGAACTTCAGTTTATCTCCACTCTTGTACCGACTGAGACATCTTACCACATTGTACTCCATGACATTAAATCTGCAAAGCGGTGAAACACTCACCATCATTGTCACTAATATAACATACATGTTATATTAAAATAATATTCCTGTATTTTCACGAGTTATTGTTACTAACAGTAGTACATGTATTTATAAAATAAACGTAGATAACCTGATTTGAAGTTGACTTGATATTTATCGTCTGTTTGAATGTTTGAAATGGACTATTATTGGTTCCAGCTGTCATTCGCTTCTCTGGTGTCGATTGTCTACAGTCTTCTGATGATGGTGGTGTTGGTAGGAATCCTGCAGCAGGTTGCAAGAAGTGGATTCTGTTCTGTGTCCACAGTCTTCTTGACCGGGGTCGCGGGAATCTATGTGTCGTCGGCTTTCCTTCACCCCCAGGAGTTCTGGTGTATTATACATGGGGGGCTATACTTCCTCTCCATACCAGCGATGTCAGTGTTAATGATGATATTCTCTCTCGGGAATCTTCAGAACGTATCCTGGGGAACTCGTGAAGTGAAAACTGCAGCTCCTCCGCTCCCAACTCAGCAACAACAGCAGCAACAAAAGCAAAATCAAGCCAGTCAGGATAAAAGGAATATGGTGCAGCAGTGGCTTGGGAAGATAAGTGAAGGGGTATCTGGTGATTCAGATTACAACTTCTCCTTTGGTAACTTGTTCAGATGTGTCTGTTGCCCATCTAACCAAGGGGTGAAAAATGAAGACCTCAAGTTCAAGGCCATCCTGCAACGTTTGGAGGAACTCGACGAACGCATGACTGAAATGACCCGAAGTGGTGTTGATTCTCTCGATTCTTTCAACAATACCCGTACTCCTGAAGCTACACCCTTCTCTGATATTGCTGGTCAGTTTGAAGGAGCTGTGGACAGAGGTAATGGAGCATTTTTATCTGTAATAACTATGAAACAGTTTGATCAGGTAGAACCAGTTTGTATACAATTGTCAAGACAAACAGTCAAATGGTGATTATATGTGATGACAGGCTACAAGACGGCTCAACGATAAAGTCTGAACACTGCTTTTGAATAGTATGACTATCTGCGTTATATTTTTCAGCCAATCCAGTATTCAAAGAGGAAAAGACGATGGTCAGAGATGAGCTGACAGAGCCCTACTGGATTGAGGATGAAGATATTGCAGGAGGCCAAAAGGAGCTGGTGAGCAGTCAAGAGGTAGATTTCTGGAATGGACTTATCGGGAAGTACCTCTTCCCACTGGACAGAGATGAAAAGCATGAGAAGAAAATGCAACAAGACCTTTTAGAATTGAGGAACACCGTGTGCCTTGCCTTTCTCCTCATCAATGCCCTCTTCGTTATCCTTCTATTTGCTTTGGAGTCAGTATCTGAGTACACTCCACAGCTGAAGGTAAAACTACCGTGTGGGAATGATGATGTGATTCCCGAGGATATTCAGCCAATATCAGTTGCATTTACTCTCGTGTTCGGGATTATGCTTTCTATACAATATATAGCAATGCTGTTCCACAGATATTCTACGTTCTTACACATCGCTGCTATAACTAGGATTGATTTATTCAGAGGCAAACTGAGAAGCAAGAAGCAAGAAGACAGGAGGCCCACTGTCGAGGAGACTATTGCCCTTGTCCGGGAAATGCAGCAGATGAGGGAAGATGATGACACAATGTCCACTGTGAGTGCCACCGAACTAGCCCCTGATTACCCCGATGATGAGGAAGAGGGTTCTGGGAATCCAAACAAAGGTAAGGATCTGTGGAACAAGATGAGAGCACGCACAAAGGAACCTAAAGCTCACCACACACTGAGCAGAAATTTCATGAAGAACTTTCAGAAACTGGCTAAAAACATGACGGAGGACAAACAACATGAGTCCAAAGAGAAAGCTGAGGAGGAGATCGGTAAAAAATTTAAAGGTTTTGAACGCAAATCTCTATTCACTATCGTCAAAATGGCCCAGTCAAATGAAGCCTTTAAACAAAAAGTTATCAAGAAGAATGACAGGTGGCAAGGCGTTGTACAAAAACTTAATATTAACAAACAAATTAAAAGCAAGAAACCAATGACTCTTGCTGATATTGTGAAAGCTGCTCAGCAGAAGAGGAGAGAAGAGCAAGGACTAGCACCTCAACCATCCAGCTCACAGGCCACAAGATCTGCATTTGGGGAAGCAAAAACTCAGACCAACCAAGGTCCTGTGGCAAGCAGCCCAAAGCCAAAACTTAAATCATTTGCCATGCGGGCACTTGCAGCTACAAAGAAGGATGAATCGCATCCAGCATCTGACGGCCAATCATCTCTCCGTCAAATTATTCGGCAGAGTCGACAAACCCGACAGCGATCAATGGAGCCGGACACGGAAATGACGTTACAGACTCCGCCGCCAGCACCTGGTGATGAGTGGCCGCCGGAAGTTGAATATGCTGCCAGGTCCCGAGGCTCCTCACCCCATAGAGGAATACATGGGGCTGACACTCTCTTTTAAAGCACTATTTCATCGATCACAATCTCCGAGTTTCTAACAAGCAACGGAGGGCTAACTTTCAAGACTTTCCAATAAAACCCCGGGTTATTCAACAGTCCGAAGCAGCCATGCCGGGATGACTTTTAGAGAGAATACGGTGGTTTTCATGTGTACTATAGTTAAATTAAAAACGGCACACACGATTGTTGCCGGTCGTCATCACTCGGAATCTGCACCAATGCTCCCTAGCGACTTCACAAGGATGCCAGTAGACTAACGCCCAGTCTCTGAATATATATAATTTTGATAGCAACAAATAATTCCATTAAAAATTGAAAAGGAGCCCCAGTGAGATGGGTGATTCGAAGAACCTGAGGAAATGTAGACTTGCTTCGAGCTCGAGCATAGGAAAAAGGGCTCTTCGAAAGGGAAAAAAATGAGACAGACGAGGAAATAATGCTGTTGAGGGACTGTGAGACAGACGAGGAAATAATGCTGTGTAGGGACTGTGAGACAGACGAGGAAATAAGGGACTGTGAGACAGATGAGGAATTAATGCTGTTGAGGGACTGTGAGACAGACGAGGAAATAATGCTGTTGAGGGACTGTGAGACAGACGAGGAAATAATGCTGTTGAGGGACTGTGAGACAGACGAGGAAATAATGCTGTTATGGGACTGTGAGACAGACGAGGAAATAATGCTGTTGAGGGACTGTGAGACAGACGAGGAAATAATGCTGTTGAGGGACTGTGAGACAGACGAGGAAATAATGCTGTTGAGGGACTGTGAGACAGACGAGGAAATAATGCTGTTGAGGGACTGTGAGACAGACGAGGAAATAATGCTGTTGAGGGACTGTGAGACAGACGAGGAAATAATGCTGTTGAGGGACTGTGAGACAGACGAGGAAATTGCTGTTGAGGGACTGTGAGACAGACGAGAAATAATAATGCTGTTGAGGGACTGTGAGACAGACGAGGAAATAATGCTGTTGAGGACAGACGAGGAAATAATGCTGTTCAGACTGACAGACGAGGAAATAATGCTGTTGAGGGACTGTGAGACAGACGAGGAAATAATGCTGTTGAGGGACTGTGAGACAGACTGTGAATGCTGTTGAGACTGTGAGACAGACGAGGAAATAATGCTGCTGTTGAGGGACTGTGGGACGAGGAAATGTGTTGAGGGACTGTGAGACAGACGAGGAAATAATACTGTTGACTGTGAGACAGACGAGGAAATAATGCTGTTGAGGGACTGTGAGACAGACTGACTGTGAGAAATAATGCTGTTGAGGGACTGTGAGACAGACGAGGAAATAATGCTGTTGAGGGAGGGACTGTGAGACAGACGAGGGAAATAATGCTGTTGAGGGACTGTGAGACAGACAGACGAGAAACGAGGAAATAATGCTGTTGAGGGACTGTGAGACAGACGAGGAAATAATGCTGTTGAGGGACTGTGAGACAGACGAGGAAATAATGCTGTTGAGGACTGTGAGACAGACGAGGAAATAATGCTGTTGAGGGACTGTAGAGACAGACGAGGAAATAATGCTGTTGAGGGACTGTGAGACAGGGGACTGTGAGACAGACAGACGAGGAAATAATGCTGTTGAGGGACTGTGAGACAGACGAGGAAATAATGCTGTTGAGGGACTGTGAGACAGACGAGGAAATAATGCTGTTGAGGGACTGTGAGACAGACGAGGAAATAATGCTGTTGAGGGACTGTGAGACAGACGAGGAAATAATACTGTTGAGGGACTGTGAGACAGACGAGGAAATAATTGTTGAGGGACTGTGAGACAGACGAGGAAATAATGCTGTTGAGGGACTGTGAGACAGACGAAAATAATGCTGTTGAGGGACTGTGAGACAGACGACTGTTGAGGGACTGTGGACAGAAATAATGCTGTTGAGGGACTGTGAGAGACAGACGAGGAAATAATGCTGTTGAGGGACTGTGACAGACGAGGAAACTGTTGAGGGACTGTGAGACAAATAATGCTGTTGAGGGACTGTGAGACAGACAGAAATAATGCTGAGGGAAATAATGCTGTTGAGGGACTGTGAGACAGACTAATGCTGTTGAGGGACTGTGAGACAGACGAGGAAATAATGCTGAGGACTGTGAGACAGACGAGGAAATAATGCTGTTGAGGGACTGTGAGACAGACGAGGAAATAATGCTGTTGAGGGACTGTGAGACAGACGAGGAAATAATGCTGTTGAGGGACTGTGAGACAGACGAGGAAATAATGCTGTTGAGGGACTGTGAGACAGACGAGGAAATAATGCTGTTGAGGGACTGTGAGACAGACGAGGAAATAATGCTGTTGAGGGACTGTGAGACAGACTAGGATGACGGGAGGGACTAGGATGCTGTTCACTGTGAGGGTTGGTAATCAAAATCTTGGATCCGATGTGTGAATTTCTTTTTTAAATCCTTTTTGCACGAGTGAAAGAATTTTTTATGATCCAAACAGTATTTGATATATGTTGTTTCATAATGGATAGTATCTGTCCAAAGTCCGTTCATGTTAAAATGTTAAATGACAAGCCTTCAGTATATATCTCTCCAAAGTCCGTTCATCTCTCTCAAGCCTTCTTTCTCTCTCTCTCCGTACAGTTTGTATGTTTTAAACACATATCTCTATTCATGTGGAACTATAAAAGTATCCGTGTATATATATCCTTGCCCACCCACTGAGAGTCTTTGATTACTGTGTTATTGATATATTATTTGGATGTAATGGATGTCATAATTACTTTGGTTTTCAGTACTCAAATTGGATACGACGTAGCTGTATTTAGCAAGAACTACAAATTGTATATAGACGACAAAATGGCTCATTTGTCTCCTTCTCGGTATAATACCCATTTCTGTGTTTCTTGGAAACTGTACTTGTAATCTTGTTAGAATCGTTTCAATATGCTGTAATGATTTGTATTCAAGCCCTTGAATTATTAAATAAAATACCTCACACATAAAACCAGAAAGCTGAAGTACTTAGCGGGACTACGAGTGGCCCAGTTGCCTACGACGTTGCAATGCGTCGTGCAGAGTTGCGCCCCTTGCACCCCAGAACACTACAGTCTGTTTGGGTCAAAATGATACAGATGAATGACAACCTAAATCTAAATCGGTTCATGATCAAACATTCATTTCAACGCAGAATGTAATGAAAACATCAGACCAACTCTGGGAAATAGTTTCATAACGTTACTCATCATCATTTTGTTTTGATTTTCCGTGGGAAGTTTTACGAGGGTAAAGTACCAGTAGTAGTGTTGCAGGAAACAGCCTCAAGGGCGGGAAGCACGTGTAATTGTGACGTCACATCAAGTATAGCCAATTGATTTATTGACACGGAACATGAGACAATGAAATTCACCTTTGACATCAAGTCCATTATTTTATGTTAATGACTTTTTCAAAGGCGAAAATGGAAGGGGTCGCCTTAAATATGCCATGGGTAATTTGTTAAACGCATTGCATGTGCAGTTGGGTTGTCTGAAAGACAACTGAAAGAAACATTGAGAAAAAGTGCAACCGAGTTAGGCACAACTGAGGGGATTATATCAAAATCTCCACTTTTGAAAGTTAACAAACTTGAGTGTTTTCTGAAAGAGTCAGTAAATCAGGGGCGGATTGAGCTGTTTTCCACACGTCATTTACTCGCGAGTTTCAATGGTCATTTAATAAACTTTCAGGACCCCCTCTGGATCCGCCTATGGTAAATGATATTAGTAAATGCCAATTATCAGTTATGGAAAGTTTTGCATAAATTTGGGCTTCTTTACAATGTGATATCGTGCGATTACGCAACACATACTTACGCACTATCAGACAAAAACGTCAAGATGGATTCGGACCAGTGCTTTTGGATGAAACATGGGTGAACGCCAGCCACACTGCAAGCACACAATGTGTAGATAGCTCATCTACAAAACCATATAACAGGAAACTGCAAGCACACAATGTGTATATAGCTCATCTACAAAACCATATAACAGGAAACTGCAAGCACGCAATGTGTAGATAGCTCATCTACAAAACCATATAACAGGAAACTGCCACTGGGCAAGGGTGAGCGACTCATTGTGTTACACGCAGGTTGTAAAAGTGTGGGTTTCTGTCTCATTGTTCACTCGTGTTCAAGGCGAAATCCAAAGACAACTGAATTTACCACACTGAAAGGGGGAATTTTTCTTAAATTGGGTGAAAAACAGCTGATACCAGCACATCTTCAGAAATGTTTAATTGTTATGGGCAACGCACGAAATCATAGCGTGCAGGATCCAGATGCAAAAACACCAACATCCAACGGCAGGATAAGTAATATGGTAACATGGCCAGAAAAGCTAGCTATTCAAAAGCATTTCCATCAAAAGTAACTAAACCTCTTTTGAATGGCATAGTAAAGCGCAACAAAAAACACCACTCTATAAGGTAGATCAATGTGTCAAAGCTCATGGCCATGAAACTTAACGTTTACCGCCTTACCATTGAGATCTCAATCCAATAGAACTTATCTGGGGTGTCATCAATCTAATGTGGGTCGCAACAATACCACATTGGAACTTTCGGTCGCTTAAAACGAAGTAAGGGACCGTTCATAATTTATGGTGTGTTTGTGTGTGAATATCACACCACACACCAAACACACACACACACACACACACACGCGCACACGCGCGCACACACCCTAGCCATGAATTATGTAAAATAACATCAGCAATCTGGCAAAACTGTACATGTATACAAAAAGTTGAAAATGAAACAGAGAATCAGTACTGGATAAAAAGTGATTTAGATTATGCCACCATTCATCATATAAGTGAACAATTTGAGATTGCATGTGAATCAGGAATATCCTCAGATTCCAGTCCGGAAGAGTTTTGATACAACCCCTAAATGCTGCACGTGCTACCCGCCTTTGAGGCTGTTCCTGCAACAGTACGTACTACTGTTACTTTACTTTTTTGAGTTTAGTTTTTTATCTTGGAGACAAACGTTATGAAACCTTTTATCAGATTTGGCCTGATGTGTTCATTACATTCTGCGTTGAAATGAATGTTCGATCATGAACCGAGTTTGAGTTAGATTGTTATTCATCGGTATCATTTTGACCCAAAACAGACATTCTTTTATAGAATGATGCGCTCGAATTCCGTTTTTTTCCCGATCATGTTTTAAGTTTGTCACCATAGTGACATGTGTCAGAGAATCGTATCACCTCGGGCTTTTCTCCCACTTTAGACTGACACGTGTTGTCGAACCAACTCATTCATGGAATTCTTGCTATGATTCTTCTGCTTTTTATTGAATACACATGTGAGTGCTGTTAGTAAGCAGACTTTAACTCTTGAAGGGGTGGGTGAACATGGAAAACTGGTTCCTGCGAGTAAACTAAGGAATTCCAGGTTACCCGAATCGCAGAATGATAAAGACCAACCAAGATGTCACTGTTTTCGCCAACTTATAAAGCGGTCGTAAAATATATCGTTTCGCTCAACCAGAGGAACACTGTCGCTCTTTTGTGTAACATGGCTTGAAGGTCTTTCCCTATAGTGAGTGAGTAAGTGAGTGAGTGAAGTTTTACGCCACTTTTAGCAATATTCCAGCAACATCACGTCGGGGACACCAGAAATGGGTTTCATGCATTCTCCCATGTGGGCAACCGCGCCCAGGTCTCCGGCGAGACGAGCGGACGCTTTAAAGGAGAATACGAGTGAATTGCAATAATTTGCTGGGTGAAAGATAAAGTCATCAGAAATATATTCCCAAATTTTGAATTAAAAATTATGAATACTTATGTTTTAATCGCGAAAACAGTTTCTGTAAATCTCGGCTTCGGCCATTATGCATATTTCGCTGGAACCCACGTGACCTTTCCGTTCGTGACGTCAGATGTGCCGGGAGTCCGCCATATTGCCAAAGATCAAGTGCTGCAGTAGTACAAGTCGTGTTGTTGCTGGCGTTTTTTTAAATGGTACGATGGTGTATTGCGTTGCCTGGGGATGCGCGGCATCATCGACATGGGAAAGAACCACCGTTTCTTCCGTTTTCCAAGTGAAAAGACAGATATAGACAGGAGGAAGGTTTGGATTCATAGGTGTCAACGTGGGGAGAAAAACTGGAAGCCAAGCAAGAATGCAGTACTGTGTGCCGATTATTTCGAGTCGGATGCATTCGAAAGAGACCCATTTCGCCTTGCACAAATGGGATATGAAAATCCAAAAGCTCGGCTGAAGAAGGACGCAATGCCCACGAGATTCAGGACAAAAAGTTTCGCGGATGGTTTACCTAGTGTTACACGAGGAGCATTTAGGAAACGACAAACGGACGAGGTAAGTAGATTTCGATATGCATACTGTTACCGACCGGAATATTCATTCCCGAATATTCCGTTTATATTGCACCATTAAGTAGTATAGTTTTATTTGTCTATTTTTCGCAGATGCTGAGGGATATCTTCAATGATGAACAAACCACTGAAACAAATCCACCCAAAGCCTTTGATGGAGACAGGAATGAGCCTTATGAATTAGATAAGGTAAAGGAACATGAACAGTTTCATGGACCAGATTCCACATCAACTAATGAGATAAAACTTGGAGCGTCTGTCAGTGTTTCCACCAATTTGAACATTAGTTCGCGTTTTGTCACCCAGAAAACCCAGACTATTTCACAGCAACAAGTTACATCACAACGTGCACGGAGGATTGAAGTTACAAGTCCTTGCCAGTGAAAGTCAGTCACTACCATTTCAACAGAAATTCAATGTGAATTTGTATCATTGCCACCACTAAAGCTATTTTCATCTAAATGTGCACCCATATCACAAGTTTCATCTAAACAGCATGAGGTGTGCAGTGTCCCCATCCAAGCAGTGGAGGATATTGATGCTTGTGAGGACACACTTCTTACAAGTGACGAGGAATACATGCCTTCTGAATACTCAGAGTTGGATGAAAGTGAAACTGATGCAGACTGTGATACAGATACTGATGACGAAACTGAACCAGTTCTCTACTTGTCAGCAAATCCCCAGACTGAAAGACAGTTTCTTGTCTCTGAAACCTCACTTGCCCAACTATTCCAGTATTGCTCACATCAGTCAGGTTCAAGTTCATTTTGTGGCATGACTTGTCAAGTGAAACTGATGCAACATCAAGGCGTTATGATAACTGTGGAGACAAAATGCTTGAAGGGGCACACTACAATATGGAACAGTCAGTCAATGCATGGGACAATGCCTTGGGGCAATCTTCTGTGTGCCAGCAGTATTCTTTTGAGCGGGGGATGTGCCACCCAAGTATTGAGAATGTTCAAGTTCATGAAACTGCCAATTTTTAGCATGGGTACTTTCATCAACATACAGCGATGCTATACAGTACCAGACTACCCTCTTGGCCTGTAGTGATTGTTGGGTGGCTAAAGTCGGTACGAGAAACGGCTAGTCACACACGGAATGCTCCGGTGAAACCCTAGACATGGATACAGTATGTGAAGGCCGATATTTCGGCGATTCCAGTACCTGTGAAGAGAGACTATTAACGGCATTTCTTCCATCGTATTTTCTCACGTTTATCTGTGCTAACGACTTGTTACAACTTTTAAAACAAATTTTAACAAACTGATAATGAAACCGGACTATAGTTCGTTTGACTTCATTTTAGACCGATGAATTGCACACAAAATCTAATAATTTAATCAACAAGCGCGTGCAGTGAAATTTCAATATCACACGTACAATTTCAACTCGCACACCTGGCTGTTTTACCAACAAGTGGTCCTCCCTCGTAAGAAATAGCGAAAAGTGACAACAAAATAAGGATCGTTTGTTAAACAACTTTTTTATTCGGGTGTCCAAACTTATGAGACAAATCATCAGAGTTGGTTTGTTGATTTCATGCGAATGTGCAAAGTTTGATTTTGTTGCATTTATTAGATTTTGTGTTAGTGAGCAATTCATCGGTCTCAAATGAAATCAAACGGACTATACATGCATTAAATGTACCCGATTTTCGCATTCGAGCTGTAAATGTCGTTAACGCCATCGTTTAAAGTGTTATATGAGGTTTTATTGCGTCAGATCCGCCCGAAACGTTTGACCAGGGATAATCTACAGTCTTCTATTCTCCCTGCTTTGACACACTGTATAGACGAACACTACCTCACGTCATGTGATAGATGGGCCCGATTGGCATTACTATATCATGTGACATGTAGCGATGTATTATAAGTTGTTCACTGGTCACGAGGGGGGACACTATAAGTTGTTCACTGGTCACGAGGGGGACACTATGAGTTGTTCACTGGTCACGAGGGGGACACTATGAGTTGTTCACTATATAAAATTGTTCACTGGTCACGAGGGGGACACTATGAGTTGTTCACTGGTCACGAGGGGGACACTATAAGTTGTTCACTGGTCACGAGGGGGACACTATAAGTTGTTCACTGGTCACAAGGGGACACTGTAAGTTGTTCACTGGTCACGAGGGGGACACTGTAAGTTGTTCACTGGTCACGAGGGGGACACTGCATGTTGTTCACTGGTTACGAGGGAATTTGGAACTGTTTGAAGCACGGGGTTCATACCGTAGTAAGAAGTAACACAGTTAGGCAACAGGTCAAACACTACAAACACGAAGTACCAAAGTTCGGCATTTCCAGCGGGTAACAGAAAATGTTACTCTCTTGCAAGCGGGGTACATTGATTGGCTCAGCCAATCAGAAAACGACATTTATGTGTAATGTAAGATAAGTGTCGATGTTCACGATTGTAATACAGAACTTAAACCAAGCGAATGCTTTATGATCTTATGACCAAGCGTCCAGAAGTCCTGAATGGCGTGGCAGCATATTTAATTATAATAAGGGAGTGAGTATGGTTTTTACGCCGTTTTTAGCAATATTCCAGCAATATGACGGCGGGGGACACCAGGAATGTAATTATAATAAGCTTTATGGTGGCATGGAGTAGCTACAAGACCATGAGTCTTGGTTTCTTCCGAAGCGAGGTGAAATGGGCTTTCGCTTCGAGTTTCAAATGTCTTAATGGTTGATTGGGAGGCGCACATTCGCTCGAAAAACTGCGTTATTATGACCACGGTCACTAGATCGGTTTTCATTCATCTCTGCGCCGAAAAGTCCTTCCTTATTCCAATTATCCCTAGCGTGAGGCGGGGTAACAACAAGTAACATGTGTTAACTTGTATGACACAGCTCGGGTTCGAACTACAGTACTTACGCTCCGCATTGGACAACAGACGGGATCTGGTTTTTTAGATATACAGGCAGCATATTCGCCCAACAGAGGCGCTCATAGGTCCACAATTTAAGTCCCATGGAGGGGGTGGGGTAGCCTAGTGGTTAAAGCGTTCGCTCGTCAATCCGAAGACCCGGGTTCGATTCCCCACATGAGTACAATGTGTGAAGCCCATTTCTGGTGTCCCCGGCGTGATATTGCTGGAATATTGCTAAAAGCGGCGTAAAATGTCGCTCACTCACTATAAGTCCCATGCACCTGTGAAGTCGACGAAATGGAGATCGGATGCTTAAAGTTTTCTACTGTGTGGCAAACCCCATGAGCGTGGTTCTTTGCTTGAGCTTTGATTCAGTGGCCAACTAGTCCTTGCACACACAATTATTGCCTGGAATATTGCCTACATTCTTTACACTGGCTGCCCAATCACTACAGGATTCAATTCAAGCTTCTGTGCCTCTCTTTCCGCTGTCTGTCTGGATCAGCCCCTTCGCATCGGGTAACGGGATCGGGTGGTCAGTTTCGCTGACTTGGTTGACAAATGTCATCGGTTCCCAATTGCGCAGATCGATGCTCATGCTGTTGATCACTGGATTGTCTGGTCCAGACTCGATTATTTACAGACCGCCGTCATATAGCTGGAATATTGCTGAGTGCGGCGTAAAACTAAACTCACTCACTCACCCTTCGCATCGGGCCCAGTCCCTCACACAGCACCGCCCATGTTCACAGGATAAACGTATATTCGTTATGCCCACTGTGAGAACTTCTACTTATGGTGAAACGTCCTTTTCGTATGCAGCCTCTACGTATACAACCTGGAATCAACTACCTCAATATCTACGTGACTGTACAGAACTTTCTCATTTTAAATCTTTACTAAAGACTCACTTCTTCAGATTAGCCTATGAGTGCAAACAATAATTCATTAATTGTTTACATGCATCTTTTATTCTCTCCTCGTGTCTGTTTTGTATATACTTCTATGTCTTGCGCTTTGAGCATGTTGTACATGGAAAACAGCGCATTACAAGCATGCTATTATTATTATTATTATTAAACAACGTTCACAGAGACTCATGGATACTGTACATCAGTAATAAGGACAGGTTCTCCAGTTGTGATGATCTCGTGGTGACAATGGCCGCGTACAGGTCAGGATTTTCCTTCACCACCTGTTAAACATATGCACATGCACCCATGAAGACAGGGGTTGAATTGATGTTCAGTATCCCATGCTTGTCGTACGAGGCGACTAACGGGATCGGGTGGTCAGGCTCGCTGACTTGGTTGACTCAGGTCATCAGTTCCCAATTTCGTACATCGATGCTGATGCTGTTGATCACTGGATTGTAAGGCCCAGATTCGATTATTTACAGACCGCCGTCATATAGCTGGAATATTGCTGAGTGCGGCGTTAAACGGCAAACCAACCAACCAACGTAAGAGTCGACTAATTTTGGGTGGTGACTTGACCGATGCATATCGTCGTAGTCGATGCTGATGATGTCTAGTCCAGACTCTATTATTTACAGACCGATGTCTCATAGCCGGAATATTGCTGAGTGTGGCGTTAAACATCAAACAAACGAACAAACAGACACACAGAATATTAACACACGCAGTGACGTATATATAGGGTACTCGCCTGTTGAAAACCCTAACCGATCTGACAGTCCCTATTGAGCTGACAAGACGCACTAACGTACCAAGCATTCATCTCGCCTCGAAGTCATAATTCATATAATTCTTTAGAAATCCACGCATTAAAATATTTCGCTAACTTACCGAATAATATAGGACGAATAAACCCCGATGCCTACAACGTTGCATTTAATCAGGAATATTTCTTTTCATCCAAAACTAAACATCGTTGTATACATGCATTCTGTTAGATCTAATATGACACGTGAGTGTGGTTAATTAAGCATAATAATAATTGAGGCCTTAGAAAAGCATGAAACGATGTGTATATGAAAAACACAATGTTACTGAAAATACCAACATCGTGACCACAGAGTAGCTTTGATATTGATTAATTAAACAGCTGCGAACACCTGTGTAGTTACGCCCCATCATACGACTGTGGTTCAACCTTACTTGTGCACGTGTCGGTAAAATTGATGTTGTTTGAGAACATTAATATTTGGGATGTATTTGTAAAGATTTGAAGAAACCTATGACCTAAATATGTTATCCCTATACCATTTACAGTTATACTTACAGAAACATATGAGTGGCGTGATAATATACAGTCATTCCGTACGTGACAATATTGGGGAGGAAGTCAAACTAACGGAATATCCTAAACAACACCTTAGGCCCTGCCCCCTCTTCATATCTGGGCGAATATTTCTTCCCTGTTGACTTTTGTTAACATGTTGCCGGATCATCGTGTGTTGGCCAATTATTGATTATAATGCAGTTTCGTTCTTACATATCTTCATAATTACTTTCATATATAATGATGCGCGTTCATATGACACATGTTTGAAATCATGCTCATTTCGCAACCATTGCAAAATTAACATTATATTTACCTGACAACTAATGTTCCATGAAAGGGAATATAACGAACTTAAAGTAAAAGCGTATTGTTAGTATTGTTTTTTTATGTATATATCCTCTATCCCATAACGTATAGCTGTAAAACCTCTGACTCACGGCTTATTTGGGCTGCAACAAAGAATGATTAACAGGAACATGGATGACATTCAGAGAAAATCTCTTTTCTTCTTCATCATTAGCGCCAGCATAACGGTTAATATATAGATACATAGGCAACAATATTTTACTAATTTGACATGTTGCTCCTGTTTAGATCCCCTCAAAAAAAAAGGCTTTCAAAAGGCTTTGCCGTAATCCAAAGGTGAAATAATGACATAGTTGCAAGAAGAAAGTTCCAAAGATATAAACACCATTAAATAGTCCAGCTGGCAATTATACGTGAGGTACTCAGACAGGAAGGATGAATTATCGCACGTTTCAGTCTAGATTGCAACTTAGGTTCCGAGTTAAATATAACATGTACCAATTACATTTAAGGGTTATAGAGGAATTCGATTAAGAATATGCATATTTATGGACACACTCACGAGCACACCCGTATGCAAGCGCGCGCACACACGTGTAACATAAATGTAGAAGGGCCGTGGAGTCAACCCGCATATGAAAGCCTCAGTTATCGGCGAGGGGGCGGTGTGTGCCTCGTCGGTCGTGTGGACAAGGTGTCCGACATCGGATCAGATACATTGCACACATAGTCTGAGCTGGTGCTGGCATTGTCAGTTGTAGATGCATTGAATAAGATCAAGCTCCCCCATAACATATATTGTGTCAAGCTCTCTGAAATGTAATACGACATACTATTCAATATACGCTTTCAGTTACATGTAAACATGAATTACATTTTGGTTTCTATAATAAAAGTAAATACTGCAAGTTGAAAGGTTAACAAGTAAAGATTCGTTTCCTCGTTCAGACCAGAGACCATATATCTCTGTTCAGACAGATGCTAAAACTTACTTCCTGGTTAGATGAAAATATTATGTTTGAATATTTATTTCTTTGACTCCAAATGTTTATATTTCCTCACCCACCAAAGCTCGAAGTCAGCTGGTTCTGCTTCTGCTGAGTAGCAAGCACGTGCAATGAGGCTCAGTAGGAAATCCATGACTTTAATACAAGTACGGGAGAAGGCTTCCTGGGAATCAGCTCAATAACACTAGTTGTGTTGCAAGTAGCCCCAATACTCTGCCCGAGGTGTTTGTATCTACATTTAGAAAACCACGTCACTTCCAAATTCCTGACATCAACACAACGGTTAAGATTAGTGGCACCGGATTCATCGACCGCCGAAACTGTCATGAGTCAACCACATCTCCGATGGCTTCAGTGAATCATATATAGGGTAAGTAGTAACAGTTGTCCATGGTCACGTTGTCCTATGCCACCTGAAACACTGTTCAACATTGGATACAAACTGGTCACACTGCCCGTCAGACAGCGGTATTTCACCTGGGGATCATAAACACCAATATAGCACTGTCCGATGATTCACACCGGGAACTCAACAAGTGGCAGTGTTATCATCACAGCACTTGAGTCATCTGTTTTAAAAATACACAAATAATTTAATCCATTTATTTAATATTAAGATCTTATCCCAGCTCATATCAAACGGATAAGGAAAAAATGCATGATTATGTACGTTGAACCAAATTTAGTATTCAGGTAAGAGTTCCGCCCGTAACCCCCGCTTGAAATGTATTCTGTTTATTATCATTATGATTATGATTATTTCAAGGAGTGTTTAGGTTTAGATTTAGCATTATGTTAGGCTTAGGGTTACGGTTACGATAGGCTTTCTATAAAAAAAACCCCATCCATTCTTACTATAAATCAGGTTTACTTCCCGCTGATATCTCATGAATAAAGATTTGGTATAATCACACCAAACAGTGTATTATGTTGACACACACATATATTTGTCCATATAAAAAAATGACAAAAGTGACAATATGGCACCCCAGTTGCTATGCCATGATCATGGGGATTGGGAAATGTACAATAACAAACATTCATTAATCTTACCTCTTGGTTTGTAACAAGTGATGTGTGATTGCATAGGTCATGGCTGCTGACATCAGCATTTGCTTGCTTTGTTATCATTGTCACTTGTATCAGATTTGAACATGTTGACATAGTCTGAAAGTGTCATATTAATCGCAATAATACTTTGGTATACTGGAGCTTGATCGTGTCATCAAGGTATGATACCCTCAAACAACAATGAATCTGACCCTATAGCTTGGGGGATTCATTTGACTTGTCGTGTACTGGCTGCCAAACAGTTATCGCCGTATTTTAGTGGTGTTTACAAAATTACTCCGCTGTCCGTTAAATTAATGAAACAGAATTAATTATGATACTTAATTAGCTATTCGCCCGATATGTCCAGCCTGTTCACTGCCGGTGCCGGATCGTGTTTTTATATAACGCGGAGGAAGGGAATCATGGCAGTACAAATAGATGTTTTCTCACAACTAACTGTAACAGTTATCACTATTTCAGAATTTCTCATGCCATTCGTGAAATAACATATATCTATATCATACATTAACCTCGAATTATTGATTGTGTGTATCTTTTGCAGTAGATTGATAGGGAATGAAACAATTCATGACTTGTGACCTTGAACTCTTTTGAATTTTAAAAAATATTTTTTTATAAGGTTCATAACTTTATCTTTGTGAAGAAGTTTCTTTTGCTGTCCTTTATTGTTGTCAAATACCGTGGGGAAAAAATACCAGAATTGTAATTGACCGGAACAGCGCGCGTGTGATACTGATGTATTGGCGATAACTGTTACGCGGCGATAACTGTTCGCTAGCCAATATGGTTTCGGAATTTGATGTGGAAGGTTGGGACCCGTACGAATGACAGAAAGGTATAATCGTGGGTTTTGAAGATATCCTCTTATCTTTCACCAAAGTAGTCAACATATAAGAAATGCATAAGTTGGATCTTTGCTTCTGTATTCAAGCTGACATGTCTGTTGTTTATGTGTTTGTTTCTTCTGTAACATTTCATTCAGCAATATTTCAAAATATATAGCATTCTCCAAGGCAATGCCAGCAAAGTTCTCTGCCTTTCGGTCTTCCTTCCATACACTCTTTGTCAACTCTATTGATCCATGATGTTCTGTGTATCACAACTCAACTTTGAAATTGTATCACATACATTTGTATCACATATCAGCTTCCACTGTGTGATGATAGTCATGATAATTGTAGTAGTACATGTACTATATAGATTACAACTTAACAGTTGAATTATCTGTGGATATCTGTATTTGGGCCATCTGAATATATGGTGATATTGTATACTGCATGTGCTGTGTGTATACAACAAACCAGCCTGTGAATTATTTATGAGAATCTGTATCATGTATCAACTTCTGTCTGTATGGCAATGATTGTATTATGTAACATGTCAACAATGTTCTTTTTAAATTAAAATTACTTTAAATAAATAATCCTGCTGTCATCCAGTGATTAAGAACATGAGCATCGATCTACCTATTGGGGATGCAATGACATGAATCATCCAAGTCAGCAAGTCTGACCATCTGATCACATTAGTTGTCTATTACAACATACAAGGGTTGCTGAAGACAAATTCTGACCCATATCTTCTGGTCTACTTCTGATATAATTGAAATTGTCCTCGAAACATGTTAAACCGGGTCATGTCTAATAGCTTTAATATGTTTATGTTTCATCATTATATAATCATCATTACAGCTGAACATCAGTCTCCGTATATTCCAAAACAGCGCTATCTGACATATCCACCCAAGCTAGAAGTGTATTAAATATAAATACATGATCTATGCTTGAAAATAATTATGGTAATACTTCCTAATTTGTCATCATTGTATTAACTTTAGTCTGTTACCATGGATACTGTTTCCAACTGTACGATACAAATGTCACTTATGTTACCCCCATTATATTATTAAATCATGGATCAATAACGTTATTTGCATAAACATGTTAATTCATCACAGAAAGTTTATCCTATTTTGGTTGTTTTGTGGGAAAGACATCTTGCATAGGTTGGTATCCATGGAAACATTGTTCAAATACAAATGCAAGTGATTAGAATGCAGGAATATTTAGGAATGGTATTTTTTGTTTTGTTTGAAACCCCAAGTTTCAGAAAGCTAAAATTGTCTTTCCTATTAATGATAGTGGTCAAATGTCTATCCTGGTGTATTAAACGAGCAATTTGTAGTCATTACAGACAATGTTGTTACAAATATTTATATTTCCTGCCCATAGACTACCTGATTTTCACTAATTTTGTTTGAGTGAGTGAGTGAGAATGGTTTTACGCTGCTTTTAGCAATATTCCAGCAATATCATGGCGGGGGACAACGGAAATGGGCTTCACACATTGTGCCCATGTGGGGAATCGAACCCAGGCCTTACGTTACGAGCCAACACTTTATGTTCCTGACTAAGTAGAGACCATTTAATAACTAGATGACCTTTTGATGTTAATTATTGAGGAACTGAAAAATGTTCTCTATAAACATTTTGCAAAGGGAAGTAACAGACATTTTTATCTTTCCTTGGCACAGCAACAAAGCAACCAAAACACAAGGGTGATGTGAGATTGTAATCCAAGATATTTGTTAAAGTTGACTTCCTCTTTGACAAAACCAATATTTACTATGGTCACCTTTAACGTCCATGTCTCCTTGGTGTATACAACTTTGCAGTTTTGGATAGAATATTGCATCATTGTCACCAATACCGAAAACAACATCAAAGTAAAGGTTATTTGCACTTTCTTCCTGTCTGTCAATGTTAACGGCTGTACCCAAATTTCAGCGGAAACTGAGCCTATTTATTTACATGTCTATATGTGGTCACAGTCATGGGGATGTTCCTTAAATTGAATACGAAAGTGTTAAATAATGTTAAAAGGCTTGTTTAGCACTCCACCCACCAAAAATACTCTTTACACTTGTGGAATCTGTACCAGGAGTGTATATACAGGTCTCCCCACTACTGATAGTGATAATATCAGTGTATGGAATAAGGCCCGTCCGAGATGGGCTAGATTTCTGAAGGACGGTCTAAATTTACAGCTTGCCAGCCCAATGGTCTGGTAAAAAAAAAATTCCTTACATCTGAGTGAATCCACCATATCTTGGTGTCTTGTCTGGTTAAATCCATTTGGGGCTGGTAACATTTTAAAGTTACCAGCCCTGATGTCTGGCTGGGTTTTTGGCTTATTTCATACACTGATAATATATATTTCATGATAACATTTACCAACAATACCAAGGGTCGGTCTGACCCCAAATTAGCTAACCATGGTTCATATTATATATATATATATTTATCAAATATATTCTAATTAACAAGAGGGCTTTTTTGTAAATACTGGTAAGTTTTCAAGAGATGATAATTCAAGTCACATGGAACAGCTTTATGAATAAACTATTTGATTACATTTTTATTGATTGAATCGTTGTAATTTATGGTAATACAGGAAACAATAAAAGGTTTAAATTAAAATGAAAACTAACTTTCCTATGATTATGAAATGTTATCTGAATATTAAATAGAGGATATGTTTATTTTCTAAATGTCATATTACAGTTCATCGAGTGATGTGACAAAGTTCATCGAGTGATGTGACAAAGTTGGTACCTTCATAACGACCACAATATCATTTTCTAATAAATTTACGGAACATTAGTTAATTATAACATGATATTCATCTGTTGAATGTAACTAGTCATGTTGTGTTGTAACACATGATTAAGTGAGTTGTACTATATATACAGTTTCACAAATCTACCAATGGACATGCTTCATATCAATCAGGAAGTATGTATGCATATTTTACAACAGCCCTCACACAGAGCATGTTCCAGCGGCAAGTTATAAAGACTGTAGCTAAAACAAGTATGAATGTCAGTGGATGTGCTGCCAATATCTGGTTACAGATCAACTACTGATGAACATACAAGTGTAATTTAATGTATAATTAAGAAAGGGTTGAGGCAATATCTGTTGCAAATTGTAGATGCACTTATCAATGATGTACGTGAAATACATGATTACAAGTGGGATTGTAGTATATATTTGGCACTCTTATTGAAGGTGACAAATCACAATAACCACTTGTCATGACCAGATTAGTACAACTTCTTTGATGATTGGTTCTCCAAGGGGAATGATATAGAATAATATTGATGAAATATTTTATGGAATCATCTTTAACTTTGTATGACGAGCTTACAACATCTGCTGTACCAAGCAGCACCCTCTCCACCAAGCAACACCCTCTCCACCAAGTAACAGCCTACATCCTGAAAGAAGTCTTCAC